AGATCCTTACTATTAACCAGGTATATAGTACCGCAGTTATCTAGTAAGGTACTCTAAGAGAGCGGATATCTTAAGAAATCGAGTATTATATAGATCCCCTAACCTGGGCTCTGGATTATAAATATAGGATCTACTAGAATAATATTAAAGTTCTCAGGAAATTGGATTCCGGATATTTTGGGCTCCTTTTTGGAACTAGTACCGGATATTAGCTTTTCTATAGCTTGTCTACTAGTAATTTTCATACCGTATTTCTCTTCTAGCTAAGGTTTCAGATTTTTCTAATACTTGATTAAGATTCTTTCCCGGATTTTTCCGATCTATTCCTTATTAGGCTTAAATTTTATTCAAGTTTTACTTGATCCGGTAATCGTAATTTCCATAGTAGTATAGCTAAGTAAATCCTACTTATACTTATATATTTTGGAATCCTTATAAGGGTACTTATAGTACTTATACTTATCTGAATCGGGTTTGCCATCCAATCCTTTACTAGTTCGATTTCCGAATATTATAAAGATTACAGGAGCTCCTGAGTACTTGGTATTCTAATTTTCCAAAATAATCCGATTAAATACCTGGCCGTACTATTCGAGTATAAGGATTAGAAGCCCCAGTTCGTTTTTACTATATAGATTACTAAGCTATTCTGTTGCCCAGGTTAGTACGAGTTTCCGCTAGAGGGCTATTAAGAACTCGATTACTACTAGAGTACCTTTGATTTTGGCGATTTTGAGAGCTCTGGCTCTATTAAGTATCTTCTCCTAATTAGTAAACCAGTGCTTTGGGCTTACTCTTCCTTTGCTTACTTATAGTAGGACCGAGTTATATACTCTCCGAGCGGTAGTAATTTGTACTATATCTATAGAACCGTATTTCGTTAATAAAGCTTTAAGAACCTTGTAAATAGAGCTCTGCTTACTCTCTTTGAGGCCTAATATAGAGTTCGTAAGGATCTCTATATTAACTATTTAACGGAGCCACTGCCTAATTATATAGTAGTATACTAGCTTGTTTGTCTAGTCCAGTTTCTTAATCTTATAGTCCCGTAAGAGTACCAAATAGTAATCTCTGACGTCCCCGAACGTTATAGGCTATGGAGATACTAGTTTTGATTCTTTCTTAACTATAGATTAAGTATCTTTGTTCCAATTTTCCATATTAACTTGGTATCTGGTATAGTAATCCTCTGTTTTCTTTAGTATAAGCTTGTTAATTATAAGGGGAGGTCTGGAAGGAGCTGCCATGTTCGTTTTAATTGCTTTATTATTAAATAGGTTAATCTCATCCCAGATGCCCTTATTACCTGCTACTCTACGGAGAGTATCGAACCAGTCCGCCCAGGAACTGCGGTCCTTTAGGATAATAATCTTTACTATAGCTTCTGATATGATTGCGATTGAGCTTTGGAAACTATAGGAACTATGGGAATGGTTTCTGTTAATTGGTTAATATCGGAAATATGAACTGAAGTATGATTTTCGAAGAATGAATTAAATGAGCTCTTGAATACTCTCTGCGGCATACTAATTGGGAAGCTTATTAGTGCGAGGCCGGGCTCATAACTAATATATGTAAAGATCGCAGAGTAGGGAGTTGTATTAGATAGTAAAAGAGTTTATTGAACTAGCTAGAAAAGAGCTTGAGTAAAGTATGAAGCTTTAGGAAGTAAGTGCACAGATCCTGACTAAGCAGAGCGATCGCGCTAGCCCCAATTCAGTGATTCTCACTGCGACAATCTTTAATAAGGTCTGCTATACTATTTTAGGAATTGTCTCTTATACTTATAAGGAAGTTATTACTAATACGGCCTATAATAATTACTTGTTTAATATCTAAGTATTATAATTGCTTTACTAATAATAATATAACCCTAGGAAATTTACTTATTTCCGGCAAATATTTTATAATACTTCCATATATTAATTTAGAGAGTACTGCTTAGAGTTATAAGGGCTTATAGTAAACTCTTGCCTAAAATTTGTTTCTTATAAATTACTAAGAGTTAAAATACCTTGCATTTCTAATACTTTATATCGCAATCTTTATAAATATAAGTATATTAAATTAGTAATATAATTTCTGCAAAACGCAGCTTTATTACGCTTATTAAATCGTGCCCGTTTATTAAGCAAATATTTTATAACAAGGGGAATCAAAACACGAATACTTGGGAAATTCAAATATAATTCTAAAGCTATAAAATAGAAATATATAAGGAACTAAAAAGAGCGAAACTTAAACTATAAACTATTAATTTGGGTTCTTTTGTTAGTAAAAAATAGTTCCAGATTCTTTTTTATATAGAGAAACGAGGTATTGAATTAATTTATTTTATATTAATTAACTAACTAGGTGCTTATAATATTATACGAGAAGCTACTTACTTACCGGCACCTGTCTGTCTATCCGTCTGTTATATTTAGTGTCTGGGCGGCACTTAGCCCGTGAGGGTTTGGTGCCTCAAGCCCCGAAGGGGCAAAAGATGCCAGGGGAGAAAGGCCTCTGGGTATCTATCTAGTCTACGAGTTTACAGTGAGTTCTGTGGCTTTGGCAGGATTCATATTATTGCCTCCACTTGTAACAGGCCTCGTGTATGAGTGTTTTGTTTCTATTCTCCCTAATACAAATAGATCCCCCTACTCTATAACCTCGCTCTCTCTCCTTCTGTACCTTGCCACTACTGCCGCCCTAAAAGAGTAATTGGGTTATATATAAGAGAAAATACAAAGGAGGAAGAGATGGTTTTATAGCTTAAGAGGCTATAGACCAAGGGCAGATATTCTAGTAAAATCTTGTATCACTAGCCAGCTTGTTAGTTCCCCTGCTCCCTGGGGGGTGCCTAAGAGCCTTGGAATGACCTTAGATGCAGGTTCTTCTGGGAATTATTTCTTGCTCTTACCTATACTACAAAAGTAAAAGTGCAATGGAGTCTTGCGTCTGTGACAAGAGCAGTATAGGCGGGCGTCTTTCCGGCCAAATCGTTCGTAATAGGCCGCAAAGTCCCCGTGCTGTGTTCGGGCTGCCAGAATACATCCAAGGAGAACTAGTCTTGCTAGCTGGAGCTCGTGTAGTTTCCGTCTAAACTGCATTTGTGGGATAGGAAAGAGCTACGCCTTCTTTTGCCGCCTTGTCTGCCGTTTCGTTTCCTAAGACACTAACGTGCCCAGGAACCCAGCGGACTCGTAGGGCCAGGCTTCGTGTGAGGTAAACGAGTGCAGTTTGGCCATACCCTTGCATTCTCGCGAAAGGAGTCGAAGGTGTTCTGGGACGAGCCTGCTTTATACCAACTTACTGGTACCTACCTCTAGGTAAGCACCCCTCTTAACGCGAAGCATCTCGATTAATTAGGGTTAAAACCTACAAAAAGTCCTAGTTATCGAAGAGAAGTGCAAGGTGGCAGCAGGAGAGGATTTAACAGAAGCTCAAACTCCGAAAGGACTAAATATTTAGGCTGGTCTACTTCTAGTTCAATGGAAAGAATTAGCAATAAGAGATTGAAATAAGCATTGCATTTAATTATTATTAAATATCTGCTATTGCCGTTCTTTCCTCATTAGCCTTCTTGGTTGCTTTCTTGGCAATTTAAGTAAAGCATTGCTTTGAGATTTCGTTCAATACTTAGAGACTGCCTCAGACCATACCTAAAAGCCAAGTGAGTAATAATATAAACTATGCATCGATAACTGCTCACATCGCTAATCAAATGAAATGGGTGAAGATAAAAGGGCGAACCAGTAAGCAGTTAAAATACCCTTTCTGCAAGAAAAACACCCAAGATTTCGCAGGGAAGTCCTTATAATAATAGAGAGTTGTGTATATTTATTTACTCCCCAATTACGCTACCTGGCCTTAGCTATTATTCTTACCAGAAATCTTTGAATATAGGAGATTCTGCTTGCAATTTGTATTCGGACTTTTCTGGGACTTTCTTGATGAATCGGATGTAATAATGAATAACAGCAACACCGAGTTAACTACCAGTCGCTTAGATTAAACAGTATACTTGCTATAAGAAGTACCCTAGCCTTTTTTAATACCATCCCATTTGGGCTTTTCTAGATCAGGTTTATATTGCAGAGAGTTTACGAGTAACCGCTCGCTTATCCATAAGAGGTCAAATCAAACTCCATTTTTCGAACTGAAAATCGTTATATACTAATTGCGAAATGTTCTTACCGGATATGGAATAAAGTAGACAAAGGCAGAGTGCTAGTGGGAAAATTGGATATAGGGGTCCAAACTCTCCAGTTGCTCGACTTACCGAATTCACTTTTTCAACTACCTGCTTTCCGCAAGTGAATATCACAGTCCAGTCCGTGCCGTACTTTTGTTTCACATCGCACATTTGTTTACATTGCTCTTCTTCGCGTCGCCTTCGCATCAGGGTCGGCGTCCTCGCTAATCATAAAGTCTCCCTTTCTCGCTGGCTCTAGCCAAGCTAGCTAAGAGCCTGCGAAGACCGTAAATTCACCCCACTGTCTTGTCTCTGCAATTTTTGTTGCACATCGCAGGTTTGTTTTGATTCGTCTCACTTTTGAAAATTCGCGCCTTGGTTATCGATTCAATTCGCTTTCTCCTCGCTCTCGCTTGGCCTTACACCCTTTTCCTTGATTTTCGCCAAACTCTCAACATCTCCGCTTCTCATTGCTAAGGTTCTGTCGCACATACAAAAAATCAGGGGAGGGCAAAATGAGGAGCGAATTGTCGTGCTTGATGTGAGGTGGTGCTGAATGGAAAGAAGTTCTGACGTGCTCTCACTGAGCTCACGGGAGCTCAACATCAATGCTAACAGGTAAGCAATGAAGCTCTGAATGAGTTTTTGTTATGTGATGAGCGGTATCTTTGTCCAAGAGCTTGCTGGTATATTATAATCGCCCTCGAAGCGGGGAGCGAATCCTGGCAGTCAAGCTCAGTGTTCGAGAAGGCTTTGGGACAATCTACTTGTTCGTTCGGCTCTCATTGCTCATTACCTCATTACCCCTTTTCCCTTACGCCCCCTACAGAAACCTCCTCGGATCCAGCGTCTCAATTATCGCGCTCTTCGCCTCCCCCTCAAAAATAAACTCGCTCATTAGCTTGCCCGTCGCACAGCTATTCTGAATACCCCAACACGTATGCCCACTCGCCATCCATAGCCCCCTTATTCCCGTCTCCCCTATCAGTGGCCCACCGCCACTCGATACGTGAGGAAGGTAGCAAGCTTGTTTTATGAGCACGTCGCCGGTGCGAAGTGGTGTGGAGATGGAGGAGATGTAGTCGGTTATGTCTTGGCATCTGTCGTCGTCGCAGACTACCAGGTTGGAGGTCTTGGGGAGGGGGACGTCGGTGTCGCCTTCTCCTACAACGCTCTCCAGATCAATAAATGTGCTTGAGGAGCAGGAAATTGGAGGGCAACACGTACCACAAGCATAGACCGTCCCATCAGGCCTCGCATACATCTCCGGATTAACATTCAACGCATGCCTCCTCTTCTTCTCCCCCACTTCCACCTTCCTCCCAAAATCCCTCGGCAGATCGATCTCCGTAAACACAGCCCAAGGCGAGACATCTGCTTTTATAACCACGCTGTGTGCTCGAATCGCATCAATTGGCGCCTCGGGGAAGACATGGCTTGTCCACGGCCCCGCAGCAAGCACCACGTCGCTCGCCGGTAACGTCTTAATATGCCTCGTCTCCTTCTCCTCATACGTTACTCCCTTCACCCCATTATCGAAGCTATCAATCGCCGTCACGGAACCGTAGGTAATCTGCACACCCGCTTCGGCAGCGAGTTGGAAAATCGAGGTCGTGAAGAGGTACGGGTGGACTTGTGCTGTTGTCTCCGGCGTGCCCATCTCCGAGTATCCTTTTATGCAATCTTGGTCAAACCAATCCAGATCCTTCGGTATACTAGCCAACGTCTTCCCTCTATTTTTCGTCTTGGGTAACTTCTGCCATTCTTCTCCTCCGCCCTTCTCTTCGCCCTTCACATCTGAACCATATACCTTTCCCTTTGCCCGTATCGAGCCCACGTGTAAAGTTCTGTATCCCCATCGTTCGGCGCCGTTATGTTCTTTCGCCAGCTCGGCGTGGAGCTTGAAGGAGAGGGGCACGATGCATGCTGGGTATGCCCAGAGAGCGAGGAGACCGCCTGCTTTCCCCGAGGCGCCCGAGGCGATGGATTGGGCTTCGATGATGGTGATTTTGTGCAGCGAGGGGTTGAAGAGTGGATGTCGAGCCAGGAAGTAGGCTGTTGTGCAGCCGATGATGCCGCCCCCTGCTCGAGTCAGCTCTGCCAAGTTGGCATGTGGGAATTGGACGTACCAACAATCACGATATTCCTTTGCTGCTGGGATTGAGGTTCGGCCATTGTTGCGCGCAAGCTTGAAATAAGCATTCGTTGATCTGGTCTGCTGCTGCATGGAGAGACGAATGGGGGTGAGCCACCCGTCATTCGATCAGGGATACCGCGCCACCAGTTCCACGATCCTTATCGATAAGAAGCGGGCGAAAACCCGATCAATCGTCGTGCTTGAATTGAGCCCCACAGGCGGCGTGGCTCGGAAGGCGGTTGAGCCGAGGCTCCATGCCGTCCACCCGCAACATCTGTGCCTGTGCCGGTGCCTCTAACGAGTCTAGAATCCCGTGCTTCATCATCAATGAAACGGTTTACAAACTCACCTCACCTCACCTCTTCCCCATCCGCTGTCCTCATAAAACCCATCCTCTGCCGAAGAGCTCCACGACACTCGAGTCATCTTATGCAAGCGCAGCAATCTCTCTTCCAGTCCGCATTCAAAGACCCGAATCAACGCGCCGCTCACGGAGTCAAAAAGTCGATCCCGTTCCTCAATCTTTGGGCCCCGAGTCAGGACGTACAGAGGTATCAGGAGCAGCAAAAGAGAGATTTAAGCACCATGGCGTCCGCTACCAGTTTTTATGATTTCAAGCCTTTGGATAGTACGTGCGGACTCAATTCCAACCTCCTCACACCACTGCTGTGGAATGGCGTGACCCCTCATCACCCCTCACTTCAATCAGTATACAAAGCCCTTGCTAACCACCACCGCCACAGAGAAAGGCGCCGCCGTCCCCCTAGATACCTACAAGGGGAAGGTCGTCTTGATTGTCAACACGGCGTCGAAATGCGGCTTCACGCCCCAGTACCAGGGCCTCGAGTCGCTGTACAAGAAGATCTCTGCCTCGCACCCAGACCAGTTCGTCATCCTCGGCTTTCCCTGTAACCAGTTCGGCGGCCAGGAACCCGTACGTCCCCCCTTCCCCCTCCTTTCAATTATCTCTTCCCCATTTGCCGTGTAGTAGATGGGGGCAAGCCCCCAAACCCCCGTCCTCGCTGCGCTCGCTTTGCTCGCATCTTGAAAACAAAAGGCTCACCTTCCGTTCGCGCAGGGCTCCGACGAGGAAATCCAATCCTTCTGCCAGCTCAACTACGGCGTCTCCTTCCCCATAATGGGCAAGACGGACGTCAACGGCGATAAAGCGAACCCGCTGTTCGAGTGGCTGAAAGAGGAGAAGCCGGGCCTGCTCGGCATGAAGCGGGTGAAGTGGAACTTCGAGAAGTGGCTGGTGGGTAAGGATGGCAAGGTGAGGGGCCGGTGGGCGAGTACGACGAAGCCGGAGAGTCTGGAGAAGGAGGTGTTGGGTGCGATTAACGAGGCTTGACTGAGGACGCCAAAGCTGTAGTTTTGCGAAGGGCGGATGGAAAGGAAAATATGCCATTTGCATTTGCAGATAGGTGGAAGCGGATGAATAATGCCTGGGGAACCATTCCTTGATGGATGAAGGATGTTTGCGGCTCACTGAGTCAGTCTCCTTTCAACAGGATTTGCTTTATAATAATAAACATTAGCAAGAAAGTAAAAAACGGAGCGAGATTGCATTCTACGCTTTTCCCAGTCCAACAGGTCATGAGTGAGATAGTCCGATTCCAATTCCGGACCCTGAGAAACAATGCCCCCTCTAAATAAGCCTCCAAACCCCTTCCTTCTCCTCAATCCCCACCTCCCGCCCCTCATCAATAGCCCTCCTCCCCGCCTCCAGAATCGCCGTGGTAGCAACCGTATTCCGCAGCGTCGGTAGCCCCCTCTTATCAAGCACCTCCAACGCCTCCACGCCCCGCTCATTCACTGCCCGACACCCATCGACGAACTTCTCGAAACTCACATATCCATACCCGCCTTGGCCCCCGAAATTCCCTTCCTCGTCAGGCGCATACCGCATATAGAATGGGTTATACCACATCAGCTGCCCCGCTCGATCATCTGCGACATCATACCCTCGCTTCGCCTGATCAATCCGGATCTCGCCTCCACTCGCCATGTAATGGAAATACTGATTCGAGTGAACACCGGCTTTCTGCGGCGCGGTCCAAGACGCGGTGTAGACGCCTGTTGCTCTTTTACTCGGATCAGCGGTCTTGACCCAATGCACCAAGAGCGAAATCGTATCTTCCGTCTGCGGCGCGCAGCCCAGATCTAGGGCTGTGCCTTTGGATGCCGAGGCGGAGACCTTGACAGGCGCGTAGCCGAGCGTTTGCACAATGGACTCGTTGATGTCGATGTGATGGCTGTTCAGGTAGTAGGAGATGTCGGAATCCACGCCAGCCCAAGCTTTGAATGTTTCGAGTTGCGATTTAGGCTGGCTCATGTAACTATAAAAATAATTGAAATCGCCCAGCGATTGTGCTTTGAAGCGTGCATCCGCGTACGCCGGATCATAGCGTTTGTGATGCTCGATATACACGAAAACCCCATGCTTCTTCGCTGCTTCCAGGAGAGCTAGATGATGGGCGAGGGTTTTGACAGCGGGTTTTGTGATCAGGACGTGGATTTTGCGTTCGATGGCGTACAAAGCGATCGGGTAGTGTGTGGTGTCGGGCGTGAAGATCGTGATGGCGTCGCCGGGAGACAATGCATCGATCGCGGCTTTGTAGGCGTTGGGGTCCACCTTGTCGTCTGCGGGGTAGGATTGGAAGGAGGTATCGAGACCGTTGTAGAATTGCGTGATGTTCTTATGCAGATGCTCGCCTGGGAATCGTCAATTGGGACTTGGGTTGCTGAGGGAGGAGGAAAGCGACATACGAATCGCGGGGTATTTCGTCCCACTCGTCCCAACCATAGAGAGCTGCCCAACCTTCCCTCGTCGTCGCAGGTCAAACATTGTAAGGCCCACGACGCCCACCTTCTTGTCGCTTCCTGAGGCGCCACCACCCACGAACCCGGTTGTGTATTCGCCTGTTCCGACCATGAGGACGTTCAATGGCTTGGAGGGGGCATTTTCGGCAGGTTTGGGGGCGCTGGATGCGGGGTGGAGGGGTATAGAATCCATTTTGCTGTTGACTCCGACCGAGTTGTGTTTCTTCGCTCTAGCCGTGATCGATGGAAATGGATATGCTGTGAGGAGTTGAGCTGGGTATGTAAGGAGAAATCATGTTGGAATCAGGCCCTGGCATGCGGTGTTGACGAGGTGCTCTGGCAGAACTCACTCCGGGTTCTGACGGAACACGGGGGGTGGAGGTTGGGCTGGCGTTGGCGGAGGAAATTGAGGGGCAGCCCGGCTGGCGGGGCTCGCTGTGAAATACTCCGGTGCTAGCGAGTTGTGGTGTTTTGGCGGAGGTGGAGTGGAGTGGAGGGGAGGGGAGGGGAGTGGAGGGGATTGGAGGGGGAGGGAGTATTTTCTTGCCCTTCCTTGCACTTCTGAAAAGGGGAATTCGCTGACTTCAAATTGGAGATGCTAGTATTGTTAGTTAAAGGGGCTTCTGGCGCCATCCCACTATCATTATCGGAAAGGGTAAGAAGTCTTGGATCTTCGGAGAACAAAGGCATGCCTGAGGGGTGGCTCGATCACGCCCCTCCATCACGTACCAGCTCTCTCAACCAACCCCCCCCCCCCAATTCAGCCTGTTCTGCCATACATAAGATCGAGGACCACACATCGCCATTCCCGAATCCCAATCCATCCTCTCTTCACTTTGGCCATGTCCACCCGCTGCTGAGCTCAGCCTCTCGTGCTCTCCCAGGTCACATTTGTGCCCTGCCCCGCATTTAGTCACTCCACCACCGATAAACAGCCTAAGATGGCGTTTTGTAGCCTTCTACCCCACGCATCGTAATCGTTGATCGAAATGATCCGACTCAGCGCTGTTACTGGTGGAAAAACTCGTCCGCGACAAAAAGGCCTCACGCCATCAGCCATAGCATCGACATCTCGCTCCCAAACCCAGCAACCTACATGCGCACCCTTGGCTGCGTAGGACTGACCCTGCATCTGGGAACGTCCTCACGACCTGCAACGAGACTCATACAGAACGAATTTAGTCAGGACTTCACCATTGCAACGCGCGCATTGCGTTACAGCCAGAATTAGATTCCCCCTTCCTGATGGGCCAGAAGCAGGGCAGGTCAAGAACAGAGAGGTACAGTATGCTTCGGGCTACCTGTGCCGTCCCCTCGCCCCTCGCCCCATCCTACTCCGCAAGTAGCAGAGTGGCACCCTTTTTTTTTTCGCAAAAGGGAACGCAAGCAGGAGGCCCTCCTCGGAATAATAATATCACTTATGAGCTGGCCCCCCACCAAAGGCAGTCAGAACTATCTATCATTCGGCAGGCCATGGTGTGCCTTTCCCTCCCCATCGGGTTTTCGGGAAATCTTACTTGCAAGGCCTTGAGTTTCTCTTATACATACCGTTGCTCTCCGAGTCTGCTCAGAGATACGTCCTTTCCGTTCCCGGCCTGCCACAGTTTTTCGTTGCTTGCCTTTCTCATCACACTCATCAGTTCTTTCTTATTATTTAGTCTCCTCCCTATCTGCTTCCCTCTTGTTCCTCTTCCTACTTCCTAGTCTATCTCACATCTCGGCCACCTCGCCTCCAAGGACTTCCTCTCCACTCTCCACGGACAGACCACAACACAATCGTTTCCATCCTCTCACCTGAACCATGACGCACACCAATGGAGTCAACGGCACCTCCTCCAATGGGGCAAATGGCCACACGAGCACTCGTCGTCCTCTCCTGCCCGGCATCTGCGCCCCAACAATGACCTTCTTCGACCCCACAACCGAAGACCTCGACATCCCCACCATCAAGCGCCACGCCATCCGACTCGCCGAGTCCGGGCTCGTGGGCCTGGTAACTATGGGCAGCAACGGAGAAGCCGTCCACCTCTCCCCCGCCGAAAAGACAGCCGTCACCCGCGCCACGCGAGAAGCCCTCGACAGTGCTGGCTTCACACAAATCCCCATCATCGTCGGGGCCACCGAAGGCAGTGTCCGAGGCACCCTAAACCTGATCAAAGAATCCGGGAAGGCAGGCGGGGAATACGTGCTCCTCCTCCCGCCCAGCTATTTCCGCGGCCTGATGGACGAAGATGCCGTATACAGGTACTTCGTCGAGGTCGCGGACGAGAGTCCGCTCCCCATCATCCTGTACAACTACCCCGGCGCCGTGGCCGGCATCGACATGGACTCCGACCTGCTAATCCGCCTTGCTGCACACCCGAATATCGTGGGCACGAAGTTCACGTGCGGGAATACGGGGAAATTGACGCGTGTCGCGCTTGCTACGAATGCAAAGACGCCTTTCTCCGAAGGGTCGGGATACATGGCGTTCGGCGGGATGTGCGATTTCACCGCCCAGACCCTGGTGTCAGGGGGAAGCGGCATCATTGCAGGCGGCGCGAACGTGATGCCGAAGGTTTGTGTGAAGGTGTGGGAGCTGTATAAGCAGGGGAAGAGGGACGAGGCGTTTGAGTTGCAGAAGGTGTTGAGTAAGGGGGATTGGGTGCTGACTAAGGCTGCGATTGCCGGGACCAAGAGCGCCATTCAATCGTACTTTGGATACGGGGGATACCCGAGACGGCCGTTGAAACGATTGGACGAAGTCAGGACACAAAGCATTCGGGACGGGGTGGCGGAGGTTATGAAGCTGGAGAAGAGTTTATAGGTAAGCCACGTTATTGGGGAGCTAGGGAGGCAAAAAGTGGATTTTTGCGAGATCGGGGAATTGTGGAAGTGATGGAAATATGATATATATTTTCTGGAGCTCCTTCCTTTTTTGTCTTGGGTAACAGCATATATTACAGGGGGAGGGAAACACGGAGGTGCAAATCAGGTGATGGTTGTAGACGACGGATCAGATGATTCAGGAGCTTAATTCAAAGTACTCGCATTCACCATTCTCTCTATTACTCTGCGAAGAGTCTTCCTGTGAATTTGTCCTGTTTTGGTGGCGCTAGGTCGTTTGTTGCGTGGCGACTAGCGTAGAGAGGGAGATTTGCATTTCACTCTCGTTGTCTTGCACCATTTCACTTCAGTTAGATTCGGATTCTTATTCCGAAGATCCGTATATTCCCCCCAAGCACACTCAAAACTGATTCCTTGGGCAAAACACACCAAGACTTACAACCACCACTTTATTGGAAACGTCCGACGCGCACGGGCTACTCGGCCGCAAAAGAATGACGCTCACATTACTCTACTACTCTCCTTACGTTCAGACTTTCCTAACTTCATTATGGCTATCCACATCTTGAGACGTAAAGGCAGAATATCCTAAACACGAACTTATGATTTCATAACTATTAGCGATACAAGGTGGGCCGAATTAACCTTGGGAATAACTCTTGTCCCTCCAAGGCGGGCGATATGCAGCCGCCGGTGCAGTAGCTGTAACAATATCGATCCTAAGGTGACCCGAGAGGTACTTATATACAAACAAGTCTTCGCCCAAAGTCGCTGATTGACTTTCGTATTGTTGAGCGTGCATGCAGAGAAGCTCTCAAATATTCAAAGTTCAACACTTCCAACAAAATCTCTCTTATCTATCGAGTTTTGTCTTTTGCTTGCGGCAATTTTGAAGCTTCCAGTCGACGAATTAAAGCCTGTCAATGAGGTAATATCCAACAACGGAGACTATCAATTCCTTTTTAGGCCTGTCCTAAAAGGGTACTTACATATATCCTAATTAGAGTTAGCCTCCTGTTTTACCCCTGTGGGCGGATAATCCTGGTTTGGGAATGCCACGCGAGCGGAATAGGGATGTTTACAGAGGCTGGCAGGGGCACACTAATATAATATATATAATATAGGGATCAGGTATCCCCAGCAGTGTGAAGAAAGGATGCCCTCTTCACTCTCTCCACCTATCGTCAACAACGAAAACTATCCCCTGCGATCTAGGAAATATATGTGACAGTCAAAATCGAATTCAGCCGAGGTGTTTCTCTCTAAACTTTTGGGCACAGTACGACCCAACCATAAACCCGAGACGCTATATGACACAGTACAACATATTAAATGAATAAATAAATAGAATATACCAACAGTTTCTTATCCTAGATATACCAACTTCGTCGTTTCCTCATTCCACGCCGTCGAAATGACCTGACCAACAGCTACCCGAAACGCAACATCACCTTTCCAGTCCACCAGCATAACGTTTATAGCTCTCCAGTTAGTTGCCGGCGAATTCTTGGAACCACCGTTCCCATCTATATATTTGGGTATATGCATATCTGCAACCGCATCCTTTATCGCTATTCCCGTTTTTCTCGAGGAAAGAGCAATAAATTGATGGTCACGACGTGACCGCGCTACACGATCACACGTCCATATTTTTCCAACACGGTAGCGCTCGCTGTCCATTAGGTAATATGTCTGAAGCGCATCATCGGAAATGTTTTGCTCGTATGTTGCCTCGCCGATCCGAATTATACATATGGAGGTCACGAAACTCAACATCGTGCCGGACGACTTCAGCAGCTGCCGGGCATTTTTCGAGAGGGAGTCCGCAGTGGTCTTCTTGCTTCCGAACAGCGTCTTATAGCTCGTCCATACACAATAAGAGTTGGCCGATCCTCCATCTCCTTGTACGTGTATTGTTGTGAGAGGTTCGCTACCAGAAATGGCATCCGGACGGGCATATTCCGACCAAACACAACCCTCGCTCAGTGACCATGCTGCCCATGACCAAGTTGGCATTCCAATAGTTTTAGTATCAATGGCGTATTTGCTATCATCTCGTGGTTGCCAGAGGAGAGTTTCTGCAAGCCAAGCTCGTGGTAAGCCTCCTGGAAACGCTCGCTCTGACGGGTCCAGGGTCCGTAGAACTCCATATATGGCTTTGAGCCTGTCTTGACTGAAGCTGAAAGTTCTTCGGGTATATTCTGAAATTAGAGCGACGTAGTTCGGAAGGAAAGCGAGTTTCCAATTCTTATCGGTGAGTTTCCAATTTTCAAGGGTCAAGAAGTCGCCCACTTGATCCAATAAGGCTGGTTCCTCAAGACGAGAGGCTCCCCACGCAAATGGATTTTGTCTCCTCTTAATAGTAGTAGACAAGGCCCCCGCCTCCATGACTATATCTTCAGCGCACACTGAGTTGGGGCATCTGAAGTAAACCTGGAAGTCGGTAAAAAGCAATAATCGTTTCGAAAGCATCTATATTATGTTAGCCCGTTCTTCCCAAATTCAGGTACGGAATAATTCTCGGTAGATATAGATAAACGTAGGGAGACAAATAAAGTATGGCTACAAACTTTTTCTTGCAATGTCCATCCTCTAGTATTCCAAACCAGTGAGGTGCCTGAATTGAGTTCTTCGAAGGATGGGAATTCAACGGCAAGTTCGACGCCATCTACAATTTCGGAGCGCTGAGCATAACGCCTTCGCCGGCTAATACCTGGCAAGCCCCAATCTGCATCTAAGGGGAGAATGCTGTCAACATTTCCTTATTTTCCCGAAAGCAAGACATCAAGGAGGGGCTCAATAGACTTACGCAAGCCCGAACCAGCCGCAATAGTTAGAGTGGCATTGCTATATATCTCGTCCATCATGCCTATTTGAAGGTCTTGATCTTGCTTATCATCTTGTATGATGCAAAGTGAGTCTACCCAGAGGTAGCCGTACTCAAGAGAGCGAGTGACCGCGATTGCATCTCGGACGGTGCGGGGGAGCTCTTTGGGTAAATCTATGGTCTCAACCCCATACTCGTCAGTGCAAACAGCTGCGCTTAGAGTTCGAGGCATCTCCCACCCCAGAGGCCTCTCCCGTTTCAGTTTGTCTTCTCCCCAGACATACGTCAGTGCAACATACTCAGTCCGACTCGACGAACTTCTCACGATTACCATGTTCTTGACATCGATCAAACGAAGACAATCTTGGAGGAAACGGCGCGATGTCTTCTTACCAATGCACTGTTCCATAGGCCCCGAATGATATTCGTCACACACATCAAGCCATCTCTTACACAAAGCTAGATCGGCATGATCTCGGTCGACGATCCTACCGAAAAAAGGCCCCGGGCGTAAGGGACGAAGATAAACATGAGTGCGTTCTCCCGAATACGATTCCCAGTATAAATCAAACTGATATCGGGATAAAGTATTCGTTTTTGAGGCGTAGGCTTGGAGGTCAAACTCGTTCGAATAATCCCACCGCCTGATTCCATGGTACCTGATAAGCTTGAAATTAGTATTTCCCGACCAGAAGAAACGCAGGAGTTGAATCAATGTTTCATGAATTCTTCCTCAAAAGATATTTCTAAGAGACCTCGAAACCTGAAAGAGGAACTTCGAACTCAGAGAATATCACCTACTCATTGAAGCTGGTACAACATTTCCAGCTCTTTCTGTTTGACAACTTAATTATAGATTTGGAAGAAGGCCGGTGTTCGTTTGATAAAATGGCGTCCCGGACCAGGCTACAGAATAGGCACCCATCACGATTGGAAATACCCCTCCAAGAACCAAGCCTAATGGCTCGAAATCTGCTTTCGTAGCTGTATTTCCGAAAATTGATCGACCGACAGGTGGAACAGAGTGACTGAGACATTTGGTCGAAGTAGAGGTCGGTGGAAGATTTGACATAGGCTGATTTGGTTCAGGCCAAGTCGACAAGGCTGGGCCAATAGACTCCAGAAAGGCAGCCTCTACGCGGGGAACACCAGAAAGGGAGCCTAGATGACAGCAGATGGGCCAACGGGACATGCATCGAAAGATAGGCAGGGATTGTCAATCCAAAGCAAGAAAATACGGAGACGGTGGAATTGATTTGAGGTATGTGACGTGAAGTGGATTCATTGTCGAAGAACGGTTCCACCAAAAATGAGGCTTTGGTCTGGGCGCAGAGCTGAAGGTCAGGAGATAGCTACCCACCAATAATAGTGACCTTTGCTTCGTGCTCGGTAAAGCGGCTTGAGAGCCATTCGTGCAGCAGTGGTTTTTCCTGCAGCCAATCGTCACTTTCCGGGTAATCTTGCAGTGGGGTTCTGAGTAGCGTCAATGTGGCATAAGTGGGACAGAAGCGCGGCAAGTGCCTGCAAAGGAGTGATTTGTGGGTCTTCGTTGCATTCTTTTGCATAGAGCAGCACTACTTCAGCGCCCGAAAAGTGTCCAGAATGCGCATGCAGCTTGTGCTCAAAGAAGATATTATTATGCGAGCAGATTCAAGTTGCACGTGAGGTTTTGCAGATAAATTACAAATCGAAGAACGGAATAACGAAAGGCCGAACCCGCCGCGTTCTCTAACCTTCGAAGTGTTCCCCCCGATACACCAATACGAGCGATAGCCCAATGGGAGCTAGATTACGATTCGGGCGCCCGATTGAGCAATCGCATAATATTGGGGTATCGGGGCTAACGAGTAAAGGGGCTGAAACCCCCTTACCTACTAGTTCGCTCTAAATATATCCTCAACCCTATATTCTTCACTTCGCTTAATCCGCACTATTTATGCCATAGCACAGCCTCACTATTATTAATATTAAGTATATCCTCATGCTTAATTTTCTCACTTCGCTACACCTTACATTTTTATGCTATCCCTTCGTCCGGTGAGACATAGTCCACGCTAGTAAGGGGGCCTGGCTCAGACTGTAAAGTCGTACCTTTGCTTAAAAACTTATTAGTCATCCATCGCCTTTTCGCCCTGAGCCAGGCCCCCTTACTAGCGTGGACTATGTCTCAACGGACGAAGGGATACCTTATAGTTTAATTTATTAATGTTAGATATTAAAGGGAGTAATAATAGGGGTAATAGGGGTAAAGACACCGCTTGGTGAACTTACAACTCTCTGGCCACATGGTACTCTCAATAAAGTTACCTCACAATCAACTTATCCTGGATTGCCTACGACTGGGGCAGTCCATAAAAAGGATAAGATTACTCTCCCAACGGCAATTGCAATGGAGAATGGTCGTGGATCAATCGCATTAGCTCAGAAGGCTAGTAGGGCATCTGAGAGAGCAAAGACGAGAGTAGCTGTGGAGCAAACACGTGAGAATGGAGCTGGAGAAGGAGAATTAGGTGACCAAGTGGGGTGAGGGCACCAAATAGGGCTAAGGTAGCTATGGGAGCACCTAGACGTAGTGGGAGACGTGGAGAGTAAAGCTTAATATGGGTGAAGCGTCTTTAATATATCTTCATTTTGTCCCCCCCGATACACCAATACGAGCGATTGGTCAATAGGAGCTCCTTTACGATTCGGGCGCCCGATTGGGCAATCGGGTAATATTGAGGTATCGGGGGGAACAGAAGCGCATTCTCTCTTTTGGCTAGCGCTAAAAATTCGAAGGCAAAGAAGGAAGAAGTCCTGCGCGCCTCCTCAGAAGGTCATAATGAGTACGGTAGTACCGTTCGAATTTGCACACGACAATATAACGCCCCCGAACAAAATGCTAGAAAACACCATCTATTATGCCCTACCTCTTTTATCTCACAACCACCTCTCAAGTGTCCAGCCCTTTGAGTACTAACCTCCTCGAAACAGTGCCTGCGTTTAACCGTGTGCGGCACAAATAAAACGAGTTATCTCTCAGAGCACCCGAATCTCCGGTGGATGATCGTCGTAGAGAATATCCACAGCAAACTATTCCGCCTCTCCCGACAAGTAGTTGGTCTCGACGGCGCTCTCGCGTTTTATACAACAACGATCTAATTTATTCACGTCGACTGTGTGATCGAGTGACGCATGCTTGAACACGCGCAAGAGAACGTACAAAGGCATTAACCCTCATAGGGCCCGTTCATTAACTTTATTGGCTTTGGCAAGGCGGGGATCGAGTTTTCTTTTTCATCGTATTCTACCTTGATAACCTTACAACTAAATAGCGTTACACTGAAAAAAAAGTAACAAATACAAGACAAGATTTCCTTGCAACGCCGTATCTAAAACTAGAACTCATACGTATCACGATCCTTTCCAAGCAGTCGGCACAGCAGGAGCAGGTCCGTAATTAGGCTCCATAAACGTTTTCGAATCTACAGGCGTTTTGATGGGTAAAGCAGCAGTCTTGGCCCACTGCCATCCTTTGTTCATCCCATCCACCAGTTTCTGGGGTTGTTGTAGCAAAGGGTTGAAGGGGTTCAATTGTGACGAGTTTACACTCTGCGCTGGTGGTGGTGGAGGTGGTGCGGCAGCGTAGTTGAAATAATCGTTATCTTTTCCTTCGTTTACTTGGGTCGACGGCATGCCTGGTGGGGGTGGGTAATAAGGTGGCGGAGGTGTCATTAGGTAGAGAGAGGATTCGGAGCCGCGATGTCCTTGATTCATTGGCATTTGTTGGTGATAGGAGTTGGGGTCCCCTGGGTGATATGGCATTGGTTTCTGGGCGACAGATGGATGTTGGTATGATTGAGGTATGGAAGAATGGCGAGAAACGAAATTCGTGGGAGGATGGTACATTTGCGGAGAGGAGTTATAAGGGAGCGGATAATATGTTTGCTGAGGGGTGTTGCTAATCGAATGAATCGAATACATGGACCCGTAGCCGCTGTCTTGTCTCTGCTGCGGTGGAGGCGGTCCAGGCGGTGTGTAGTATTGTTGTGATGCGGGAGGGGCGTGGTGTTGTTGTGGTTCGGAAGGCGGGCATTGCTGTTGTGGTTCGGGAGGCGGGTAGTACTGTTGTGGTTCTGATTCTTGGTATGTCGGGATGAAAAATTGAGGCTGGTAGGGTGGTAATGGCTGAGGTGGATAAAAGGAATTTTGAGCATGTTGATTGCTCGGTGAGCTAGAGTGTGGTATATCATATCTTGCAGGGAGAGTAGCTGAACGCGGCTCTCGTCGAGGTTGAAGTCCTGGCCGCTCCTCTTGCACATCTGGTTGAGACGTCTCGTCTGTGAAGGCTTGAATCACTTCTGCGCGTTCAAGAGGTTGAGGTTGGGTTGAAGGTGTGAACTGCGAAGTTTTACCGCCAGCAGCCTCTGTTTGTGTTCTTGGATAAGGTTCGACTTGGCTGAGACCGAGACCGAGTGGCCCGTTCTCTTCACGCTTCTCCGTTACCAATGCCAATGCATGCATCCTCAGCATATACTCTTCGTCAACGGGTGTAAGACAAGAAATATCGTTGAGGCTATAGGACGTTGTGTTAGTAAGCAAACCTAACTTTGAAGTCCTTAATGGTGTGGGGTTTGACACTTACCTGCGAGACGAAATGGAGGCTGCATCTGAAGTTGCTAGTGCGGCTTGATTGATTGTTGTCTGTCTTCCGGCATCGGTAGAGTCTTGAATTGAAGGAGAAGATAACGGCAAGGACGCAGATGGGTCTTGCTGGTTCTGGATGTACATCTCTTGCGTTTTGATATCCCCTGGCGAAGCTTGAATGGCGGTGGCTGATGCCTCAACGCCGCATGTTTGTTGCGAAGGTTGCAGGTGATGGGGGTATTGAGATGCTAATACCGCCTCTTCCATTAAAAATGGAATCGCCAACGACCCGTACCTAGCACTCTGCTCTTGAGATTGCTCATCATGGAGCTTCGCTTCATCGGCCATCTTTTTTCGAGCATTCGACACAACAACAACCTCCGTTGCGTTAAGTGCCGTATTTGTTGCAGCCATTTCAACCGCCCGCACAGCCGCTACAGCTGCGAAATCACTAGCACCTGGTGGTGCAAGTCCAAGTGTCAAGCCACCGATGACACCAGAGACTGCCATTGGCGCGAGTACGTCCCCCGTTCGTGTACGATGAGTTGTCCCCCTAGCTTTGAGACCAGCCTCAATGATCTCCCGTTTCTTGCGCGCATTGTGTATTCGTGGGGCAGAGAGACCGAGTCCAACGGCAGATATCCCACCCGTGAGGGGCATGAGAAGGACTGAGGTTGCTGTCGAAGTCGCGCCGGCCGATATCTGCCTCGTGTAGTTCTCCCATTCTTTCTGCAGCTGTTCTGCACTCATCCCATTGCATTTCTCTTCATACTTGGCGTAATCGAACGGCATTTTGATATGGATTCGTGGTGATCGAAGGTATTCGTAGAAACGTAACCGAACGCGTAGGACAACTGGTATTGGCAGGTAGCGGCTTCAACTACCGTGTGAGGATTCGACTCAAATATTTTCATACATACTATGTTGCTGGTCGCATAGACACTGGTGAAGATAGGGGATGCAGAAGGTTTCAGCCTCGCTGAGGACAGAAGCTAACCAGCGCGTCGGCGATTCTAATTTTCCCCCGAAATCTTAACGGCACGCAACAACGGACTTAGGGAGGCAGTCGAGGCAAGGATTGAAAGCAAGTGGGACGGCTTTGACGTGTGGTGGTAGAGTTGGGACGAAAGAGAGGGAACGACGGGTAGGAGACGTTTGGGAAAAGAAGGAGACTCTCCACAGTGAGAGCCGCATCCACACGTGGGTTTTCGAGGCCCCAGTCTGCAGGCCCCGCACCTTTCCCAAAGGAATCATCATCTGAGACTGGCAGTGCAGGTCCCCGGTCCTTGGGGACGAGAGTGTCCTTAGCGCAAGAAATTGCATGCGGCGTGGGTCAGCTCAGTGACCAAGCTGACTGAGGTCCCCAAGCGCCCACTGAGACGGCTCAGGGGCGAGACCCAATCGAAAAGATACTCCATGTGTTGGATCGAGTTCCGACTGCTGTGTAACACACCCACAGCACATATGTCGTAGACCTGGCCTATCAGAATTGGAAACGGGGAGAATAAGCGAGGGGTTCCTGAGACACAAGACTTTCAGCCCCCAAAAATAGCCAATATTTAGGGCTGACACTGCACCCGGCCCGCGCCAAGGGCTCGGCCACGGGCGCCAATCTGGGCCTAGAGCTTGATTTTACTGTACCCCTGTGAGCTGCAAGGTTCTTCCCACCCAATTCTCTGTTCACATCAAGCCCCAACCTTTCGAGCCCAAACTGCCACCCCAAATAGACAACGCCCAATTCGCACAGTTACAAGGCGCCAACAGGACTCTAAGATGACTGACTACAACACTACAAATGCGTAAATGAAAGGAACCAATTGGCGTGTGCACCATTCCGAACAAACCACCCTGCACGCCGCGGCAACACTGGAGATTGATCCAGAGACATGACCGGTTCCGTCGAGGACAAGATCGAGGACACCATCTACGAGAACGAGGCTCTTCGACATCGCCAAATTCGACTCCTTACCCTCTTCCCGGGAGTTAATGGTGATAACGGTGACTCGCCAATTCGTTGTATTCTCAAACCCGTCCATCTCGATGACGCGCATCCACCATGTTACACAGCCTTGTCCTACACATGGGGTGACAACAGCAATAAAGTCACGATAGAAGTCAATGGGACAGAATTTGAAGTAACAAGAAATCTCCATTTGGCCCTAAAGCACTTTCGGAATACTCAGGATCCTATCCCTACTCTTTGGGTTGATGCAATTTGTATAAACCAGAAGCACGATAACGAGAAGGAAGCCCAAGTTCAGTTCATGCAGAGTATTTTCTCTGGCGCGCAAGAAACTTGGGGCTGGCTTGGCCCCGAAGTAGATAAGAGCAACAATGCTGTTGATCTAATCAATGTTTTGTCACGAGTCTATCGCAACTCGTGTCAAGGAGACAATACAGATCCAGAAAATGCAGACAAGGCACAATGGGGATCACTGAAATCCCCGGGGATCGAAGATAAGCTCGCTGCTTTAGATCATCTCTTGACTAGAGATTACTGGTACCGTGTTTGGATTGTGCAGGAAATCGTCTTGTCGAAAAAAATCGTCTTCTTCTGTGGCAGCCGGAAATTCTGTTGGGATTCACTCTTATTCACGGTGTATCTCTTGAACCTTCATACCGAGACCGATTTCGTTCACAACTGGGGCAATAAAAGAGACCCCCTGCGAGGTATTTCAGGTGGCAGTCAACGTATCATGTCCATCCAGAGTGTTCGATACGATTATCAGCAGAATGTGGAGAGTGAACTGAGGGACTCATTGTTGTCACTGTTATCGAACCATCGATCAACTGGTGCAACGAATGCAAAGGATAAGTTTATTGCACTTGCTGGTCTTGCTAGGGTCCGTTTTGAAGATCATTCGATCAATGACCCCAAAGGAACTCAAAAATTACAAACGGAAGCCACGACGGATGGTCTTTACGCCATGGAAGTGGGCGATGTGTACGCGTTTGCTTGCCATTTACTTACCAGAGAGACGCGCTACAAATCTCTGGACTTTCTCGACTCTGCAGGATTGCCCAGGAAATACCCCATGCCTTCATGGGTACCGGATTGGAGTGTCATTATTCAAAGTCGACCTTCCCCGCTCCTATATTGGCAGCTTGCTACGAAGAAACACGAAGATATTGTTCTTATCAATGCCACGGGCAAGCCCAGTCCCCTCAACAGGACCACTTTTTCCATTCGAGAAAACGCAATGCTCCAGGCCACAGGGCTAAGAGTTGGCTCTATTCAAGAGGTCTTTGCAGCGCCCAGTGAGCCGGAGCCTCCCAATAAACGCGACCCAAACCAAACACCTCATAGTCGTACGAAATATCCAACTGGCGAACATCCCACCGACGTTTTGTGGAAAACCATAGTCCTAGACCGCGATCTCGCGGACGGAATAAAAGCCCCCCAGCACTGGGGAGACGTCTTCTACCAACACATATCCCAGTCATCAAGTCCTTCTTTCCTCCAGCAATGGTGGGCGCAGTGCAAACTTTTCAAACTATGCGGCTCAACGCTCGAAGAACTCGGACAAGAACGAAGTCGACAGCTTTCATCACCATCCCAATCTTCCAACCCGGGCGAGGAGCTTGCACGCTTCAAGTCGGCATTCGCTATTAGTGTGGGGTACAGAAAACTCGCAACGACTGAAAAGGGGTATCTGTGCTTGGTCCCACTCGATGCCAGAGGTGGGGATATCGTGGTTATTTTGGTTGATTGCAGCGCTCCAGTCTTACTGCGCCAATATGGAAATGAGAACACTGGATACAAATTCATTGGGACTTGTTATATGCATGGAATTATGCATGGCGAACTGGTGGATGAGCTTCAGGTGGAGGACCCGTTTACTGAGAAGTTCGATATTCGTTGATATATGGAAATGGTCTGCAGGCCGTAACGCATCACCACCAAGACCTTGTGACCGATTGGACTTGGTTGGGTATGTTCCTTTAGATTTCTAGGATGATCTGTTATTGGAGTATCTCTTCGAAGTTGCATAGGCACAATGGGCTTGGCAACACGCCTCTGTGTGCAACTGAGCCCACGCCACCGCGCCGCTCCAACTTCAATCTCAAATTTACCAACTCACCTCCAAGCATCAATGGAATCTTCAGTGGTACGATCGCTTGTCAAAATCCCTGGCTTGCATTCATTTACGTTTCCGCCGTCATTAGCCTTTGTTTATGTTCAATACGTAATCCTGCAGAATGCTCAAGAGGAGGCCCTTCGAATCCTCCAGTCCGTCTTTGCCAACCTCAACGAGACAGGTCACATCTATGAGGGAGGAGAGTGCTAGAGAGCATGCGAATATTGAGCGCGAAATCATCGAGATATTGAGGTCTTTGCTATGACTATTAAGCAGTCGTTGAGGCGTGGTTTTGGTACTCTCGTCGCTTTAGTTTACTTTAATCGGTCTTCAATCTCTTTTATAGCAATTCAGGGTAATTTCTTTATCTATTAGCTTCTTGTAGGGAACCAAGGGTACTAGCATATATATCACTTATGTTTTCCTACCTGTGCTCCTATTAGCTTGATGTCACTGTTTACTTTCGGTAAATCGGCGAATATCAAGCCCGCGGGTAGAAATGCCTACATGAGGAAGGCCGTTGTAATCGGCTAACTAGGCCCCTGATTTCAAGAACTGCAGATGACGGCACCTAGTTTCTTATATCAGATGCCTTGAACTGGGATCAATTAGAGAGCTAGCTAGAGCGGAGAGTGAAGCTAAATATAAGAGAGTAGGGGAAATCACATGAAAAATAAGCAGTGGAGCCTACTAAGCAAAGGGGTGGCAATAAGGGGCCGAGACAGTGACGCCACATTCGTACCAGCTGACACCTTACCGCCTTAATGGAATTCGATAACTGGATACTGGAAAGACCATAATGCATTGTCCGATAGTGTCGGGACCTGCTTAGAATGTTTCTTTGAAGTAAATAAAGAATAGAAGCTCTAGAAGTAATAAGATATCTTTTCCCCGATGGAACGGAATAACATACCCCTAGTAGAGCCTAATGGTTAAAGACGGAATGGTGGGCTGACCGAGGTTCTTATAGAAGAGGACAATGCGGCACTGTTTCTTAGGCAAGTATGTCCACGGAGTTGAGACATGCGCGCTCTTAACTGGCACCGTTGCTTCTCTCAAAGCCCCATCGACACGCTCTACTCCAAGCATCAACTCTGAAGCAACTTCGCGGGCTTTTCTTGCATCTCCATAGATGTGATGGGTTGAATATTTGATAGGCACTGTTTGAAAGAGAAAGGGGAGGTTTCCTTGACCCAGTAATTAATGGCGATGGTGTGAATCGCAGAAATGTCCCTTTCTTATGCTCTTTGACACAATCCGCAACTCCCAAATTAAATACCCGACCTGAAATTAAGTTAAGTGCCCATCCTTGGAGCATGCTTCAATATCTGTATTTCAGCCCGTCCTCCGGTCTTCAACATCGCACCCGTCCATCATCCGCCTCCGTAATAATCCCACACAACACTGCCCTCTCGCTCCATCTCTTGGAAGCTTCGGTTTCTCCGTGGCTCAATCTTCATGCTTAGCTCCTCGATATGTCCAACACTTCTTTGAGCCCTCCACAGCAGTTGAAAAATCAGTCTCAAGAAGATCAGGGCGTTCGCTACGAAGATGAGCTCGAAGTTCCTCGGGTGTGTAGAGCCACGCATGGCACTCTGCCTGGGAACATTCATATCGCGAGGCACAAGCGTAACGCTCCCAGGCCAGTGTATCTCTCGTGCGCAATCGGCGGCGACGAACTAGGATCAGCGCTAATTCATCCAGGTCTTTTTTGACCCCGTCTTCCTTCAGGAATTTTTTGACGGCCATGTCCATGGCAATCAAGGTTTCTTCTCCCGTAGGTCGACTTCTAACTCTCATCTGACTCCTCCTCCGCCCACTCCACTCATCCATGGCAACTCCTCCCAGAGCTTTACCGCCATCAAACCGAAAGTAACGGAATCTTTTGTGGCCATCCTCATCGTGAATCCCGCTGTCGTCTTCCATGGCTCTGTGGGCGGGGAGGACATTGGTTATCTCCTTTTTCATCTCCTCCACCATGCGAAATAAACTGGTCAGTTTCCCTTCAAGATGGTCACCAGATACTCCTGTGCCAAAGCTAGCGAACACTTCGATGACTTCGCTCGGCGCTCTTCGTTTACGTTTGATATCTCTCAGTATCTCGTGACTGGGATTGTTAGTGCCAAAGCCTCCGTCCACGAACGATATCTCCTTCTTTTCAAACCCTTTGACGCCCCAATTTTTGATGTTAATCGGTCTGAAATAGTTGGTCGCCGCACTCGTTGCTCTCCCAACTTCAAAAATGCTACACGGTGCGGCTCGGCCTGCATTCAACGGCGGGTTTTTTGAGCCAGCTGGTTCATCTTCTCTGCAATCATATGTTCGGAACAGGAAAGGCAAAGTGACACCGCCCTTATCAGCTCGAGCAGCGACTATGCTATTGCAAGTATCAGTTCAGTTATCGAAGCTCTGATGTAGATCTACTAACGTCTGGCAAAGGTCTTCATGGCACGGGTAATGGGCCGCGCTATCCTCATCTTCAGTAGTATTACCATGGCGTTTAGCAACGTCGCAAATCGCTTTTTTGAGATCGTCCGCATCGAACTTATGAGTTAGAATGTTTGCGAATCCAGGTGGTCGAGGATGGCCAAAGACTTTCTCCCCCAATTCTTTATACTCCTTAATACAATCGCAGACCGTCATTCGAAATCTCGATATCATTATGCTGATAAGTCTGAGTAAAGTCAGTATATGATATTAAAGATATAAGCTGAGAAACGACAGAACATACCCCCCTGTGCTTGTGCCTCCGATGAACGTGAAGTAATGACATGGCAAATAGAGTTCATCATCTTCCAACTTATGAGGTGCGCGTTGGACCGTCGTTCCGTTCACCTCACGAGGAGGATATTCACAAGGTGAAAAGCTTGACTCGGAGAGTTTGCGTTTACCACTTGCTTCCACATCCTTATCCAGCTCCTTTTCGAAATAGGCGATTTTGTCCATGAGAGCTTTAAGCATCAACAAACTTCCATATCCTCGAATTCCTCCCCCGTCTAATCAGTGTTAGCAATCAGGAAGTTGAATTGGATTGGAGTAAGGAGACACACCAAAGGTTAATACAGCCTCTTTTGTCCATTCTTCTCTTCGCAACTGATGTGCCACAAATTCCTTTAGTTCAGCATTGTTGATGTCGTTGTAATCGTCTCCATCCGTGGGCGGATCGTATCGCTTGAGTGCTTCGATAGTCCCGGAAAATGCCCTTTGGACCCTTGCACACTCCGTTGGGTTGAGATCTCCAAGCTTGCCACCAAGAAGTAAAACATGAGTACGAGACTCGATTCCGTCAGGGAAATCATTCGGCAATGGCCCACCAATAGACACAACTCCGCCAAACTTTGTCTGCCAACAAGCGGCAGCAACCGCAAGTGCAGCAGTACCGCCTTGGTCGTGCCCAACAATTGCAATGTCCCGCGCCCTGAAACCGCATGTTTTGATGAGAACATTTGTAACGACTTCAACCCCGATCCTCTCAGTACAGTTTTCGTAGGTGGGCCTGCCAATATCATCATCACTCACGTCGGCCGCCCTGTTTGAAATATTGTTGAGAGACTCGGTTGTTGTATTGGCGGTGTTTGAGCGACTAGGTCCTGCAAATTCAGAACTTTGAATTGAAGAAAAGCCAGTTCCTGCTCTCCTGATAAGTTGAAGCGTGCGGTCTTTGCCAATGTAATCGCCCTTGTCCGACCAACAATAAGTGCCTGTCTCCCCAACCTGCGTTGTTCCTCGCACAAAAATACAGGCAGTCCTTGGACCAAGCAAATGCTTCTTGGCAAACTCGTATAAAGTGTGTTGGTTGGCCGCGTACCCGTGGAGAACAACTATCACGTATTGGATCTCCTCCTTCGGAGTATTCAATGAAACAACTCGATTCTCAATATACTTCGGGAAGTCCTCCTCTACTGGCAATCGTGGAAAGGATTGCCCCCGGGGGGGTGTTCCCGGTAGAGCTTCGAGAACGCTGGTGTTGACTTCTTCGTAAATCTCCGGCGGGGCTCTGTCGTTTTTCTTACGATACTTAGAGCCCCACGTGTTTTCCGCTGATTGATTGGTCATTTTACAAAGTGCTGTACGGAAACGCGGCCGTGAAAGCCTGACGACGTTTGGCAAGATCCACAAGCTATTATAGCGGATTTTTGCCGCAGGCTCGTCAGTGAAAACACAACCGCGAGGCGAAACTTCGAAGAGCCTCCCGAACAGTCTAACATGCATTCTTGGTTATATTGGTAATTGGGCGTTAAATGATCCCTGCAGAATTGTGTTCATTGTCGAGGAGTGTGGACCGGATGCGGTTATGATGGGCATCACTGATGAACCAACATCGGACCGGGCGTAAGTGGTGAACATTTCTGCTCTCTAATTGGAAGGATATTAGCGAAACTGCCCCAAAACAAGAAGGTCGGCGGTCGCCAATTTGAGAATTTCAGCCGGCCTGTATGTGGTGCATGCTTCCAATAGGAAACCCTACAATCTTCCCAAGCCCCGTGGGCGGCTGGATAGCGTCTCGTTTTGCCCTGAATTTGTTGGCCCTAATGTTTGTCCCAGAGATTTTCTCAAGAAGCAAAGTTAAGAGGTGTGGTTACACAAAGCAAGCAAAGTTGCTGAATGAGGCTGCGCAGACTTCAGGAGCCTCGTCACTCCACAACGAAACTCTTTACAAAATCAATTGAAACTCTACAGTTTTGCTTCTTCTTACATTCTCTTATATCATACATTCCCTTGATTATGGCAATGCTCACATTGGAAGAAAATGAGAGATTGGCCAAAAAAGTGTGCAAGGCTATGAACAGCTGAGCGGCTCAAGATTGAGGGTGTGCCAACTTCCAATCGAATTGGCTGCATCGCAGCTGTCCGCCACAACGATTACAGTGATGCCGTGCGTACAGGCGTCACATCCATGCTTCAGCCAGGCGAGTATGATGACGCCAGGTGGCCAAGGTTTCAAATTAGTCGCCCAAAGAAAGCCTGACAGTGCGCCACGGCTTCCATATAGGACAACACCTATTTTCTCATCATCAGCTGGACAGCCATTATCCTGAAGAATTATAAAGAGGTTTGACTTATCTCCGCTACTTTTCTATCATCGAGACCCGACTTTGCATTTAATCCACTTCATTCAAATCCTTCGTTTCAGATTTAAAATGGTTAGAGGATGTTTCTCAGGATCTTCCCGCAGCCTCGCCCCTTTCTGGGACGAGAATCTGCGAGATCTCAGCCTGCAGCCCCTGAAATATCTTGACCGTGAGTCATTTCATTCCAAGACACCTGGCATTGAAGAATCTAAACTAACTTAGGCTTATCATTAGTCACACATTGCCACCCTGTCCTAGTTCCACGTTTCAAATCCACCTTCGATCTATATAACCCCAACGGATCTCAAGCTTATCCTACAGCCATGACGCCCATTATAGCAAGAGATGTGGCAGATACGGAGGGAAGGACTTATGTCGCGACTCTGCGTTTTAATAGCTTAGGCCCAAAGGCAAAGTGGAGGAGGGCGGTGTCCAAAAAACATAGAGTACTCTATGTTGGTTGTTTACCTAGTATGCAGCAGAAGGCTTGAATTTTTGGGTACCAGGAGTTTGGCGCTGTTTGATTTAGGCTATGCCTCAGAACTAGTTAATGCTAGGTATATATTACAACAGGACTAGATTTCCTAGTAAATTGTAATTCGCTTTGATTTATTCACATCTCAATTTACTAAAGGTCAATATATTTCTCATATTTCCGCTCTGGTTTACTTTATAATTCTTTTAAGTATCTAGCTATTATAAACAATAAATAAAAATATATAAAAATATAGAAAGAAAATAAAAATCTTATATAATTAATTAAAGAACCAAGTTCTAGTAATAAGATATTATAATTCTTAAGATAATAAAATATTTTATAATTAATATATTTTATAATTAATATATTTTATAATTAATATATTATATAGTAACTATATTTACTATATTTAAGCTCTGGCTATTTATACTATATCTCTCTTTCCTCTTTATTTATTTATATATTATAATATAATATATAAAACTTTATTATTTTAATTATTTAATTATATATAACTTATAATATTATTTAATATAAAGTAGTTTTTAAAATTTATTATTAAAAATAAAAATAGAAATAGAATTAAAAATATTTTAAATTAAAGCTAAAGCTAGATTTTTTTTAATTTCTTAATATTTAAAGAGAAATATTATAATAAGGATTTTATTCTTATTAGTTATATAATATTATTAAATAATTATAATAGATATATATAATAGTATATAAACAGGTATTAGATATTATGGATCTAGTTTCCTATTTTAGATAAAGCTTATAATTAGAATTATATAAATAATCGGAATTATATAAATTATATGAGATTATATTTCCTAGTTAAGTAAAGTACTTTGCAGGCTTGGCTAAATACTAGGAAATATATAAGGAGATGCTCCTAGCTTTAGAAAGAGGCATTAATTAGTCTTTTATTAGAATTAATTCTTAGAATTAGTTATACTTGCAAGTATTACTTTATAGCTTACTTATCTTAACTATTTATATATTACCTTGCTATTAAATATCTTATATTCTAATTAATTTAACTTTCGGGAAGTAGTTTATTATAAGGTAATTAAGCTATTAATAGACAAAATATTAATAGCTAAAGTATTAACTAAGAGAAGTGCCTCTACTATTACTAGGGTAATCTAACCGGGTATTTAGAGAAGTACCTAGTTAAGTACTCTTTATATTACCTAATTAAGAAAAGAAAATAAAACTCAGATATTCCTAGAACTAGTAAGTAAGATAATAATAATAGAGAAATTAATAGTAGCTTACTATTATATTACTAAGTTAGAAATAGAGATATAATAGAAAGAAAATCTAGAGAAGCTAGAAGCTTAGATCTATTATTTTAAAAATATTTAGATATCTAATATAGAATCTATTATATTTCTGGTAGTATTCTTAGTTTAGAGAACTCTAAAAATCCGAGAATTACTTATTTACTAGGAAAAGAATATTAAAAAAGCCTAGGACTTTTTTTATTAAATAAAGTTAAAATAATATAAAAATAGTAGAATTATCTAAATTACTAATATAGTAAAGATTATATATTATATTTCCTATTTTAAGAATATAGCCAGAAATATCTGGAAATATAAGAAGTAATTAATAGGTATTAATATTATAGATTAGAAGACCTTTATTAAATTTATAAAGAATTCTATCTTAAATTCAGAGAACTATAATAATAATACTTTTACTAAGTTTAAAAATATTAAATAATAGCTAGGCTAAAGTATTTAAAGCTTTATATTTTACTTAAATAGCTTATTAGATAATTTAGGATATATGGGTTTACTATAAGAGCGGGATAATTTATTTAGTAGCTTAAAATAAGAGATCCGAAATAAGATTAATTATTAAGAAAATATTCTATAAAAAAAAAGAAGCTTATTTCTATTACTATAAGAATTAAGAATAATTTAAACCTATTTATTTAATAGGAATATAATAATAAACCAATAAAATAGTAAAAAGAAAAAAAAAAAAAAGAAAAAAGAAAAAAAAGATAATAAAGAGAAATAAAAAAGAAATAAATTTTTATTATAAAGTTTATAAAACCAGAATAATAAAAGTATAATAATAAGATCTAATATAATACCCGTATTAGGATTTATAAAATCAGGTATAATTTGCTTTACTTACTAGAAAAAAGATTATTATACTATTACTTGCCTTAATTAAGGGAAATCGACTTATTATAACTATAATAAGTCTAATTATAAATTATATAAGTACCTAGAACTAAAAAAGCCAGGAAACGGATATATCCTATAGTAATTATACTTATTTATATTATAAAAGATAAGGCCCCTAAAACAAGAATAGTAATTAAGATTACTATTAAGATAAGAAAAAATAAGTAAAGAATTAAAGTATTAGTAAACTTAAATATAGAGGCTAATTATATAAAGAGAAAATTAGCTTTAAATATAAGTATTTTATTAATATTAAGGGTAACTTTCTTATTTTTACTAGAAAAAAAAGGATTTATTTATATAGAAATTATATTCTTAAAATTATTATTAAGAATATACTAGGGAACTAAAAAAAGGCTAATATATACTTTATATTATATAATTTTAATCTAAACTATATTAATATAATACTTGGATTCCTATAGCTTTATTAGATTAATTTCCTAATTTTCTTTAGGAAAGTAATATAGAAATACTAGATTTAATTATAGAAAATTAAAGTTCCAAATACTAGGAAGTTTACTAAAATAATAAAGTATAAGATATATATTTTTCTATTAATTACTTATTCTATAATAAATAGCTAAAGAATTATTACTATTATTACTAATAAAATAGTTATATTTCCTAAGAAATATTAGAATCTTTTCTAAATATTCTTTATAGAGACTATAAATATATTACCTAACTATTATATAATAAAGTATTATATAGATCTAAAACTAGAGTCCTAATTATTATATAATCTTATATATACTTTATTAGAAAAAAAGCTTAAAGTTCTTTGGGAATATCTTAATACTAGCCTAGAAAAGAAATAGATCTATTATTTTACTAGCCTAGCTAGTATTCTAATTATATTTGTTTTAAAAAAGAAAGATAGTTTATATTTATATATTAATTACCGGAATCTAAATAGGATTATTATTAAAAACTAAATACTATTACTACTTATTAGTAAGACTATAAATAGGCTTTATAAAATAAAGATATATATAAAGCTAGATTTAAAGAATACTTACTATTAGTTATAAATACGAGAAAGTAATAAGTAGAAAATAGTATTTTAAATATATTATAAATATTTTAAGTACTATATTATATTCTTTAAATTATTTAATACTCTAGTAATATTTCAGATATATATTAACTATATACTAGTAGGCCTTATAAATATTATTTATATAGTTTATCTGAATAATATTTTAATTTATTTAGAGAATCTAGAATAATATATAGTAATAGTCTAATATATACTCGAGTAGTTATAATAATACTAGCTTTTTATAAACTTAGTAAAAT